CACCAGTCTACTGGCTCCCTGCCCCTGGCCATTCACGCCTCCACGCCCTTGCACAGGCTGCTTCCTCTACCTTCAAAGCCCTTCCTCCCGCAGGGTTTCCCAAAGCGTGTGGTGGGAGATGACCTGGGGTGGCTCACAAACAGGCCATTAAATAACACTGGATCATGGACCGAGGAAGGTATCCCCTTTCCAGGTCTCTTTTAATTAGGGTGACTATTTGCCAATCTGCCTGGGATGTCGTCCTGATGTAATTAATAGTACCTCCCTCCCTTTATAACCTCAAAAATGTCCCGGTTTAGATGAAAAATTATATGGTCAACTTACTTTTAATCCTTCCAAATGCATGAAAGATAAAGTCTCTGTGCAGTCCGAGACTTTAACACATCCACAGCACGTGCTAATTTCTCTTTCTAACAAATCGAGAGGAGGGACGAGCATCGTGCTGGAATTTAATAATGTCGCTTTGTTTTCACTGTGGTTGTTTCTTCGGTTATCTTCTATTTCAGATATGTGATCCTCTTCTTCCATTTATGACATGAAATTTCTTTTTAATATACTACATTTAAAAAGCGATTCGATTTAAGGAAAAATTTCACAGGCTAGTGAATTCCTACTCACTCTTCAAAACTCAACTCAGAATCACCTTCTTTAGACTGCCTTGCCATTCCTTTGTGGTTTAATCCCTCACTCTTCCTCCTCCCCTGACATCCGGCACATGTTCGTCATCCTTATTACACTAAATGATGACAACATGCAAATATTTATTAGGGATTTACCATGCGCCAGGCACCGTGCTAACCACATTCTCTTGCTGAATCCTCACCATTACTCTGGAATAGCTCTGCCTCTATTTTACAGGTGATGAAATGGGGGTGAAGAAACTTGCCCACGGTCACACAGCTGGTCAGTGGTGGGGTCTTGACTCGAACCTGGGGCTGGGTGACCTCAGCCTGTGGCCTTGACCACCAATGTACACTAGCGGTCACTCTCCCCCACAGAGGGCAGAAGGTCTGCCCGGTTCACCTCGGATCTCATTCAGTCAGAGCTGGCCCAAGGCCTGGCACAAGCTCCACCCTGAGAAAGACGTGAAGACGTGTGTGGTGGATGGGCTGGGACTCGGTCCCTGCTGAGATGTCTGGGGAGTCTGTGCCCCACTCTCCATCCATGATGGAGCACTCAGAGCTCCCGCAGCACAGATCTGGCTGGAAGGACTTTCTAGGAAACGCATCCCGTGTGCTAGGTCTCCCCGCCCCAACCCTGAGAGAGACCCTGCCTCCCTGATGTCTGAGCCCCAAACAGGCAGGTAGGGCCCCACTTCCCGCCTCCAGGCCAGGCTGGCCGAAAGAGGACAGCAGGGGCCGAGCGCTGCGAGGAGAGAGGCCAGTATAGGACTGGGTTGGGCAGGTCAGAGGAGCTTCCTAGAGGAGACAGGGCTTGAGCTGTGCTTGGAAGGAGGGAGAAGTTCTGGACAACCAAGGGCAAAGGGCATTCCGGATGAGGGAAACAGCCCAAGCAAAGGCAGGGAGGCCAGAAAGCAGGGGGTTCTGGGGCCAGTGAGGAGCCCCAGTTGAAAGGGTAGGAGAGAATCAGAGGGAAGGCTGGAAAGCAGGCTGCAGCTGGAATGCCGGGCTGAGGAGTTTGGGCCATGATGGGGAGTCACTGGAGGCCGGATCAGGGAAGTGACACACAGAGAACCAGGGGTCCTGAGGCCCAGAGGGGCAGCACCTTATCCAAGTCACACAGCAACAGTGGCAGAATGGGGATCTGAACCCACTCTTGCCTCCCAGGCCTGACACTCAGGAGACCCCAGGCTCACCCGGTGCCATGCCTCAGGAATGGAGCCTGGATGATGGGGAGGGTGGACTAGCACAAAACAGCCAAGAGTGGGACAGTGCCCCTGGGGGGAGGCAGGGAGTGTGGCAGAGGAGGGAGGGGGGTTGCAAGAATGAAAGACACTTTGTCCCAGGTGTCACTCTGCACAGCCATCCCCATTGGCCAGCACCTCCTCAGGATGGGCGGGTCAGTGGGCAGGAACTGCACATTGGCGGCCGGCCCCCAGGAGCTGGGCTCTGCAGCTGGCACTACCTCTACGACCCGCCTTCCTGCCCTGGCCTCAGCCAGCCTCTGTGCCAGTCCTCGGCCAAGCGCCTTCCCGCCTATCTTCCCTTTCTTCCTCTCCCCCCACTTAACAGATTGCGGCAGCAAGATGGCACAAATTTATGGCTCAACTCACCAAAAATAACAAGAGATCTATCAAAGGCAGTTTGCGTGAAATTAACAGGCGCCTGTACCCTGTTGTCAAACGCACTCGGCTCTGAGGCGGGCCCAGTCACTCCGCTCCGTCACTGCCCACCAGCCCCTGGCCTCACCGCTCTTCCAGTACCTACCCAGCCCCACCCGCTTGGCCTTGCTGTTGATCCTACGTGGGGTGTGCCAGAGAAGGAGAGCACAGCTCCCCTGCCCCAGTGCCTGGCAGAGGGGCTGGGACGAGGGTCTCACACTTCCTGTTCACCACTGTCCCCACCAATCTTACTCTCAATCTGGCAGCTCTCTGAGCCAGCCGGTTCTCCTACAGCTGGTACATGTGTCCAGCTGGCCCAGCGGGGAGGAGGTGAAGGGGGGCATGGAGGTGAGGCCAAGGGCTTGGCAAAGGTGGTGCTGCCACCAGGCACAGAGTGCTCCAGGCCCTGATGATGCCACTGGCCCTCAGATGCCCTCTGCCACATGGAACAAACTAAGTCTTGTGCCCATCACCTCCCCAGAGAGGTTGGGCAGAAGGGAGGAGGTGGCAGAGAGGAAGAGCCTCTTACCTGCCAGGGGAGAGGAAGGGGCTGTGCCAGCCCAGCTCTGGGCACCAGTGTGCCGAGAGAGACCACTTCTGATGGCACATCACCCCCTGCAACACCCTGCAAGAGCCCTCCCTGCAGGCAACCCCAGGGAGCAGCTTGGAAACATGCCAAGCAGGACAAGGGGCATGAGCAGAGGTCAGGCCTGGGAACAGCTGGGAGCCCAGGGCTCCCTGCTCAGAGATGATACTAGGCCTCATGCCCAGAATCAACCAGCATCCAATTTCCACCCATCCTCAGTGCCAGAGGCGCCTGCAGAGGCTCTGATGTTGGTGGGATGATGGTGCCCTTCCCGTCACCGGCCCTCTCTGACCCCCAAAGACACCCCAGCTACCAACCAACTCCTGCTTCCGGCTTCACCCAAGCCCAGCTGGCTGCTCCTGGCTCTGTGCTCCACATGGCAGCCTGCCCAGATGGTGCCTGCCCATGAGGGCAGAGCCTTGCTCCATCCACTGCAGACCACTGGGCTGATGGACCACAGGGAAAACCAGACAAAAGAACCCACCCTTTGCTGAGCATGATGGGGGAGGCCCCCACAGAGTGACAGGCAGTGGCGGCCAGGCAGGAAGAGCCATAAACCTCCTGATATATGCCTGGTGCTCTCTGCCGATGTTCGACAAAGAAGTGAAATTCAATTTCTTCCTGCAGGCACTAAATCCCAGGCCAGCCTCCAGGGCCGGTGACCTGCCCATGGCCTGGCTGTCACTCAGACGGCTTCATCGACCACTGTTAGAGGCCAAGCTGGCCTACGGGAGAGGCCAGAGCAAGGCCACTGGGCATGTGCCATGGATGGGCGTGATGCCGGATATCTCATGGGGGAAGCTGAGAAACCCTTCTCCCAAAGCAGCGGGTGAGGCTACTGTCAGATAAAGATCCCCTCTAATTAATTCAGGGATATCTCCCCATTTTACAGATGAAGAAACTGATGGGAAAAAAAAAAAAAAAAGGGATCCACTCAAAGTAACAGTCAAAGGCAGTTCCCAACTCCAGGGCTCTGGTCTCCAAAGCAGGCATGGGGACCGATCATGCTCCTCCAGTACTCCTAGCAGCCCTCACATGAGACCCCCCTCCTCCTTGTAAACACTCTCAGTCAGATCCAGGTGCCCCTTCTGACTTCCATCCCTGCGTGACATCCTCATAATGGTAGGCCAGCATCTGTTATCCCAAATAGGGAAACTGAGGCCCAGAGAGGGGAAGGAACTTCCTGTTAGTACTAGAGCTAGAGACCAGATCCCAGATCTGCCTCCCTCCCACTCCCATGTCCTAGGCCCCCTGTTCCCTGCCAGGCCACCTGGCCAGTCCCTGGCCCAGCACCGTTCAGCAGGCTTGTAGGATCAGCTGAGGGGCTTGGGGCCTAGAAGCTGCAGGAAGGAGGGTCAGCAGAAGGTGGCTGTGGCGGAGGGAGCTGGGGTGGGAGCAGGAGCAGACAGGACTCAGGGGCTTGAGAGCTTTTGCCCAGTCAGCAGGAAGCTCTAGCAGCTGGCGGCCTCAGTCCCAGAAGACATGGGCCCAGAGGAGGGAGACAGGGGACCCTGGGAGCTGAGCCAGCTCAGCCCTCCACGGCAGCTTCGAAGCTCAGGCATCTTCATCCAGGCACATTCTTCCACGCCTCCCTCTGCCCTGACCCTGGGGCCACTGCCAGAATCACTGACCCATGTGGGCAGGAACACATCCCTGCTCCCTCCCTACTTCAGCCTCCAGGCAAACTTGTCAACGTGCAGTGCCAGGGGCCTGCCACAGTCACTCCCAGCTTTGGGCCTTTTCATACACTGCTCCCTATGCCTGGAATGCCCTCACCACTCCTGTGGCTTGGCAGGCTTCCACTTGTCCTTTAGATCTCTGCTCCTGTATCACTTCCTGCAGGAAGCCTTCCCTGACTGCCCAATTAGGGGGTCCCCTCTCTGGGTTTATCAAGCTGCATTATCTGATTTACACCCCCCACTCATCCACCCAGACAGCAAACTCTTCGAGAGGTCTGACCCCCATCCATTTTGGTGACCCCAACATCTGGGCAAGGCTGAACACAGGGGGAACATGGGTAAACGACTATGTGAATGGCCCCAGAGCGATTCAAGAACTTGCCAAGATGGGCACCAATGGGCACCATCAGCCCCCTGGACACACCCATCCCACCCAGGACCCCCTCAGACTCACCATATCTCATCTCGGTTGTGAACAGGTCATTGCTGCTCCCCGAGTGCAAGTCGGCCTCAGCACGTGGGGCTGGGCCCCCAGGCACCAGGGCATTGGACAGGGTGTGGGCAGCAGGAGGACCTGGAGGCGTGGTGGTGGCAGGGCCGGTCCCCGCCTCACCAGGGCAGCTGCAGCCCGGCTGGGCAAAGCCACAGGCCCTGCCGGCAGCGCGGCCACACTCCTCGCTCCAGCGGCAGAGCACACCGCAGGTGAACTGGCTAGAGTTGTTGTTGTTGATGAGCAAGACCTCGACAAAGCGGAAGGCCAGAGCAGCGGGCGCCAGCAGGCGCGGGGCCTCCGAGGGCTCAGCTGACAGGCACAGCTGCACGAAGTTCTTGTCGAAGTGCAGGAAGGTAAAGGGGCCCGAGCCGCCGCACAGCTCCAACCCCACTGCCTCCTCCTCCACCTCCGGCCGCCCCACCTCCGACTCCGCCTGGGCCACCGTCTCCTCGGGGCTGGGCCGCAGGCAGGTAAAGTTGACCAGGTAGTGGTCCAGGGGCAGCAGGCGGGGGGCAAAGTGGGCGCACACCTGCTCCTGGCGGTTGAAGCGCAGGTAGAGGGAGTACTTGGTGGGGTCAGGGTTCTCCAGGGTCCAGGAGCAGCCCGAGGCGATGGTAGGAAAGAGGTCCTGCAGGGAGAAGGCCCCGTAGAGCACGCCCGAGGCCAGGGCGGAGCAGGCGCTGGGGGCGGGGTCGAAGGCGGCAGCCAGGCGCAGGGACAGAATCACAGATAGTAAGAGGGGACAGGCTGGGGTCATCCTATGTCCCTTGCCCTGTGGAGAGAGACAGTGGTCAGTGGCTCCAGGCACAGCCAGCATGGGCGCTGAATCTCCTGCGGCCAGCTACAGGGAGTGGGCCTCGTGGTTAAGACCCTCCTGGCTCTTTTAAGTCCCCAAGAACTTGTGAACCAAGTTCTTTTAGGTCCACATGTGTTATCTTAGACAAGGGACTTGACCTCTCTGAGCCTCAGTTTCCTTACCTGTAAAATGGAGGGACTCAGGAGAGTGCGTGGAATCTTGAAGCCCTTAAGAAACATGAGTTGTTGTTGTTACTATTATCCTCTCGTTCCTCAGTCAGTCCTATCAACCACAAGCACCTCGGCCCGACATTCAGATCCAGCCCCGTCCCCACCACCCAACCTGTATTCCCCAGGACTGTTGCTCCCAGCCGCAGTGTGTCGTGATCAGCTGTGAGGCGTGTCACGTGTAGCCCGGCAGTAATTGTCAAAGTAGCGATGTTTGACAACGATTTGCTTTTTTATAAATCAGAGCGATTCAAGGTTATTCCCAGAACAAGGTCATTCTCACTCACTTGCTTTACTGAGTGGGAGAGAAAGGGGAGGAGTTACCGCCACAGGGTGCCAGGGACTGCGCACAACCTGAGCCATGCGCATGGGAGGGCATGGCAAGTATGAACGTCATGAGTAGCGCGGCTGTGGATTTCCTGGTGGAAACAAGGGGGAGAGGCATCTGGAAAATGGGTGCAGTAATTTCCCTCTGACCTCTCTTCCTCTTCCACCATGGGGTTATCCTCCAAGGCCTGGCTCAGGGCCTGCTACCCCCAGGAGGCCACCATGCCATCTCCCTGCTCTTAGCTCCCATAGCCCTTGCCTGAAAGTCTGCATCACCCAATCATGACCTCCATCCCTTGCTATCTCCCCAGGGCTAGCTTGCTCATCTCATGCGTCTTCAAGATCCTAAGAGTGGAGACCAGAGTTCGCTGACTTCTACCTCCCCGCCAAGTGCTGCACTAAGCTGAGCTCCCAGCAGGTGTGAATGTCCTCCAGGTGTGGGAGGGCAGCCAGGCCCCACGCCCTACCCTGACAGACACACAGGGCAGTCAGGCCAAAGTGGACGAGAAGGGCTGGGGAGCACCTGCAGGTGCCCTCCCACCCACCAGGCCAGGACAGAGCCACTGCTCACAGCCTGCCCAGCCTCCACCCTAGCTGTCCAGAAGACAGAGCCTGGGGCCTGGGCTGGCTCAGCCCCACTTCTAGCCCTGCCCCCAGAGTGATCCACACTGCCTTCCTCCTTCATGCCCACACAGAGCTCACAGCACTGGATGGGCCCCTAGAGCCTGGTTGTTCCACATTAGATGAGAAAGGATGAGGCTCCAAGAGGGCAGGCAACCTGCTCAAGATCACACAAGAGTGGCCAAGCTGGGACTGGAGTCCAGGACCTGAGGGCCTAGCCTGGGTTTCTCTCTCACCCACCAACAGCCTCTTGCTCCATCCCCTTCCTCCTTCAGGCTCCAGGTCTGATGGACAAGCCATTAGCTCTGGGAACTGAACCTCAAACAGGATAATTCACAGGTGTGGCTCGATTTTCCCAAGACACACCCTGCTCCCCAGGGGCAGATTTTCTCCTGGCTGCTCAGGAGTCTAAATAGTGGCCAGGGGGTGCATGGGGGCAGGAATTAGAAGCCCAGAATTCCAATCCCTGAGTATCCATGGAGCTCCTCACTGCCCCAGCTCCCACATGCTCCAGCTCTCAGCCAGGTCCAAGCCCTAGCCACAAACAAGTACTTGCCCCTCCCCAGCCACAGGTGGGTGGGGGGAATGGGGGAGAGGCAAGCTCAAGGCAGGCCCATTTACTGGGGGGGAGCCAGCCCACCCTCCTCCAAAGACCCGCCTGGAGTTATTCAGCAGAAGCCAGAATAGGCTGTGTCTCTACTGCCCCCCAAGGAGCTGAAAAAAGGACCAGACCCCTGGCCTTACCTGCCCCACAGCATGCCTGTCCCACACCGTTCAGCCTGCCCGGCCTGCTGTGACACCAGTGAAGCCAGCGGCTGATGATGAATGACATCCAATCCCCCCGCTGCCCCCAATTATTTTTAAGCAGGCTGCAAAATTCAGGCCATGGCTGCCGCTCAGCGGAGGGGAGGTGGGGGCTCATTATAACTGGCCTCGCCTCCCCCACTTAGAGCAGGGCAGGAAATCTCCCCACACACCCCAACACACGTGGGCTTGAAGATCCCTGTGCCCTGCAGACATGCACGCAAAAGCACGTATGCACAGACGCATGTATGGACAGACGTTCACAGGCACACAGACAGGCACATAGATTCGTGTAAACTACAGATGCATGAACTCACGTGTAGACACAGGTGCACACACTCACATCTATAAGGGTGTAAAGAGCCAGACACTTCTACACATGCACAGAGATACAAATGTACTCTCCAGTGTGAACACACACAGGTATTTGGTTCTTTGAGGCTCAGCATATGACGGCTAAGACCTAAGGATCTGATCTGCTGCTCCTCCCTTTGTGTTCCTGAAGCTGGGGGCTCAGATCTCCCAGCCCCACCTCCTGGGTTCTGCTGCTCCCTTCTCCATAGCCCCAACCCATCAAGAAGCACTAAGTCCACATCTTTCAGAGCCACAGCCTGGCTTCTCCAGAACTGAGCCACCTCTAAACCCTGCCCAAGCCCCCTCCTCTTCTCAGTCTCCTTCAGACACCCCCTTCACACCAATTCTGGAACGTCACCCTGCGTATGCATGACTCTCATTGTTCCTGCTGTGACATTAGACCCTTTAGGGGCCCCTTTTTATATCACTCCCCACCCAGAAAATAAGGCAAGGAGCCCAATTCCAAGCTGGGTCACAGAGAGCCTCCCTTAGGAAAGGATCTAGAAGGATCCTCACAGGCAGCCCAAGGGGTTATTAGCCATGATTGACCTCCCTAAGCCTCAGTTTCCCCTCTGTGGAATGGAGACCATGCTCCCTGCCCTGAGGATTGCCTACACCTTCTCATTCAGCCTCCCAATGAGTTCCCACCACAGAGCCTGGCACAGGAGAGTACTCACACATTCCCTTCCCCTTCTCCTCTCCCTCTTCTCAGAACCTCACAAACTCTCCCCTCCTTCCTGCTGAGGTCCACCACTGCTTCTGGGAAGGCTCTCTGGGTTGAACCACAAGAGTGGCTTTGCCACCTCCAAGCCCAGTAAGACCACAAACCCCTCCATGCACAAGAGCTAGAGAGGAGAGGTATGGAGGTCGACTGGGAGGAAGAACTTCCTGGGTCAGGAGATTAATGGAGAGGATAATCAAAAGGCCTCCCACACCAGGACTTCTCTCAGTGAGATGGATGAGTTGCTGGTTGGAGTAATCTCAGTCTCAGGGACCCCCTTCACCGCAGGGCTGCTGCCCCCCATCAAACCTGAGAATCCTACTCTCTGCCCAAGCACACTCAGGCCCCCTTCCTCCCAGACCCCTCAGGCCTGCCCAGCCTCTGGCTTCCCTTCTGCACCAGTGAGGGAATCGGAGGCTTTTGCAGCAGCTGGGAGGGCCAAGACAAGACTAGGGCGGGGAGGGGCAGCTCAGGGCAAGGGCTGGGTCTCCGGGATCCCCGGAATCGACCCCTATCTGCCGGCCCGCCTAGAGCAGCGGCGCTGGGTCGCAGGGAACCGGGAGCCCGGGCCGCGGGCGGGGGAGGGGGCGCGGCAGTGCGCACATCCGTCGCGTTTATCCACCTGGCAGCTCCAATTCGCCCGTCCGTCACTCACCCTCCGTCTCCCGGGTGCTTGCTGCGGGGCCGAGCCCAGGCCAACACGCAGACGGGGACCCCCACTCCGGGCCTCCGGGTCCCCTGCCCGTGCCCCGGCCGAGGGGCGGGGTCCTCGAGGACCTCCCTCCCGGGGCTCTGGCACCGAGGAGGGCGCACACCCTCCATCCAGCCTCTGGAGCCGGTGGGCACGACCGAGGGGAGGGGGCGCCCCCCCCCCCCAGTGCGGGCTCTCCCTCTCCGAATGGCAGACAGGTCGCTCCGCCTCTCTCGAGGGTCTCTCAGTCCCGGGAGGGGGTTTTCGAGGGGGCTTCTCGCACAGCATAGGAGGGGGAGGAGGGGAGGAGAGGCGGCCCCCAGCCCCCGGGGGCGGTGCCGCGCGGTGGCGGGGGGAGGGGGCGGTGACTCAGCCGCCCTCCGCCCGCCTCCCCGGAACTTTGCAGCAGCTGGAGCCTCCGTTGCTACAGGAACCGAAAGCTTTTGTTCCCCAATGTCAGGGCTGCGGGGCTGCCACTCCCGGGTGGGACCCAGGCCCAGCCACAGTGCCCAGAGGACTTCCGGCCCAGCATAACGTCATGGACCCGAGCCCCCTCTCCTCCACTTACCCGCCCTTCACCAAGCCACTCACGCCAAAGCCAGGATTCTTAAAACTCTTGGGGCGCTCGGGCCAGGTCGCCCCCTAACTCTGACCTGAAGCACTAACTGCCTTGGAAAGTTCCTGATGGCTCTGACCTCCTGGAGGGAGGGAGCGCCTCCTCTGTGCCCCACGTGCCCCTCTGTGACTGATTGCCCACATGGATGCCCCTAATAGGCAGCCTACCTTTGGGGGCCTGGACTTGGGTTTCTGCTCTGTACTTATCCCACCTGCCCTGCCTCGACACTTGAACCAGGACCTCAAAGACCTTGGCCTGCTTTCACTGATGCCTCTCAGGCCAGAGCTGATCCCAGAGCAGTCCCCTGGGATGCTGAAGGAGGGGGAGGTGAGTAAGGGGGAGACTCTGGGAGGCTAAAGGTATTTTCTGGCTTGATTATCTTGCGGGTTGGAGTGAAGGCACTTGAACCTGTTCTGCATCTCTCCTCTGGAATTAGGAGTGGAGTGGAAAGGGGTCTGACCTTGGCCTTGAAGAGAAACAGCCCAATACACCTATCACTGTTGAGCATTACCAGGTGCCAGACACTCTATACAAACGATCTAATTTCATTCTGCCTGCAACTATATGAGGCAGTGATCACTGACCCATTGTACTGAGGGCCAACTGAGGCTCAGAAAGGTTATGTAGCTTGCCCAGGTCACACAGCTTTTGAACCCAGGTCAACTGACCAAAAGCAGAGTTCCTAACTACTTACTCAGCTCCATTACCTGAGGGTTGGAAGGGAGGGAAGAGGGCAGAGACCAGCTGGGGCCTTAGTCTGGGTTACAGAAATGCCTACCACACACACACCCCAGGCTAGACATATCCCTTTCTGAAGAGTGATGGGGGAGGGGGCAGAAGAGGGAAGGAGAAGGAGAAAAGAAGGCTGAGAAGAGAAGAAGAGAGGGAAATTGGTCAATCTTGGTCCAGGAAAGACCCTCCCTTACACCCCCACCACCACCAGGGCATACCCTGTACAGAGTCCACACTGACCCCCACCCCTGTGTCCAGCACGAGGGACACTCCCCAGGTGCCTGCTCTGTCCCAGGTGGACTCCCCCATCGCCTGTTTCATGCCCAAGCCAGACAGAGGCCACCTTTGCGCCCCCCCCCCCACCTAGTGGGGACTGCCATGGGGTAGACAGATAGAGGCTCCCTGGGGACACCTGCCCAAGCCCAAACAAGCCCAACCAGACCATCTCAAATCCAGGGGCCAGTCCTGCTGGTCGGTGTCTGATGGCTCAAAGGGCTCCTGAACTGCTGCTGGGATGAGCCCTCCACCCCACCCCACCCCGTTCCCAGAGCCCGTGGCCTGACAACCAGGACTGTTCCCGCACGGATAGCGGCTAGCGCGAGGGGGCACCCGGCGTCGCCCACCGAACTCCTCTCCCCAGGGACTTCCCAGCGCTAGTCCTGCAGCCACTGCTGCTCCTGCTGCGGAAACCTGGGGGTGCCCGCGGGAGGAAAAGGGGCAGCGGGTCCAGGGCTGCGGGCAGGGGGCGCCAGAGGACGCCGAGGGGCCCGGCTGGCAGCTGCCGAGGCGGGCAGGCGGGCAGTATCTCTCGGCCCAGGAGCCCCTCCCCCCGCGGGCACCAGATCCTTCGCCCGCTCTGCACCCGCCGCGGCGCGGAAGACTTCCCTCGGACCGAGCCGACTGCGGGAGTGGCCGCCAACTTCAGAGCCTACAACCCCCCCACACACACACATCATGCCAGCCCCCCGGGCTGCAGGAGGGTGCGTTTGGTGCCCGGCTCTATGCCCCGGGGGTGGGAGGAGAGAAATAGGGGATGGACAGATAGACTCCGGCCAAAGAGGGACACAGGAGCCAGGACTGCGAAGCCAGTCGAGATCCCGGCTGGAGAGGAGGTGGCTCGGAGCAGACATGGGGGACACGGCCCCAAGTCCAGGCCGAGGGGGAGGAGACTTGCAGCAGAGACTGGCGAGGGACAGCGGGACCCTGGGCAGATATGAGGGTGGGAGCAATCGGGACAGAAATAAGAGGAGAAGCATGGTCAGGGTGCCGGCGCCGAGAAAGGCAGTAACTACGGGCAGACATGGATGGGGACAGGAAGGACTCCACTAAGTGGAGGGGAGAAGCAGTGTGGCATCCAGACGAGGAGGGGGGGACTGGAAGGGGAAACACAGTAGAGCTGCAGGTTGGAGACAGGGGCTCTAATCAAGGTGGGGGGCGCACTGCCCGGATCCAGACTGAGACAGAGACTCGAGACAGCGATGGGGGTAAGGTCTGGGTCAGGATTCTGAGGGGATGGGGGTGGGGGGCTTTAGCAGAGATGGGTAAAAGGGAGCGGGGCGGAAAAGGGACTCATCAGAGATGAAGGGGGCTTCGGCCCCAGGCTTGGAAGTTCCCAAAGAGACGGGAGTGGGTGAACGAACTCAGTTCGGGCGAGGCAGAATTCAGCAGAGATGGACTAGGGGAGCGCCCCGCGTCCGGGCCGGTGCGGAAACTCGGGACCGCGCCGGGAGGGTTCGGTGCGGGGCCGGGTTGGGGTCTGGGGCCGAGCACTCACCTGGGCGCCGTCAGCAGCAGGAGCGGGGGCCGGCGCAGGCGGAGGCGGCCACGGGGCACAAGTTTGCCATCCCTAAGGCGGGGGCCTGGCCGGGCGCGGGGCAGCTCGCGGCAGCCGCGCGGAGGGCCGAGGCTCCCGCTCCGCGGAGCGGCGGGTGCAGAAA